TCCATTTCAGTGCGAAATTCGTTCCACAGTCTGAATATCTGTCTGTCTGTAGTCTGCCTGCGAGTCAGGCTGTTTGTCTGTCTGTCTGTCTGCCTGTTAGCAGGTTTGAGTGCTGTCTACAGCGTCTGACATGTTTTAAGCATAAGTGCAACGCATTTAGCTGTCAGAGCTGTGCGTCGACATTGGCGTTCCTCTTGGGTCTTCGCTCAACACGGCTATTGGTCTTGGCTGACTGCCCTGAGGGCCCCGGAACCAGGCGACGCACTGGACCCAGCCAGGCCTGTAGCGGACGCATTTCTGATAGTGCGCCGCAAATTGAAAACGAGTAAAAAAAGAACTTCAAGTGCAGCAAAAATGCTGAAGGACATTGTTCAGAGCGTCATTCGCCTCAGCCCCGATCTCCTCATCCTTGTCGCATGTGCATTAATAACGCTAGCATCCATTAAACGGCTCAGTTCCTGTGCCCCTCCGGCCTTGCTACCCGGAACCTCATGGCAACAGACGTTGGTAATGCGGCCCAGCTGGCCATAAAATTAACGCACAATATTAATACACACTCTCACACACACATACACACATTATTTTGTTGCAATGAAATTATTATTAAAACCAAACAACTGGCAAATGTGTGAGAGAAGAAAGCCCTGGGAGAATGAGCGAAAGCCCATGGCAAATACATTGTTGCTTATTGCAGACTCCCCAGTTTAATGCTTCGTGGGGTATATATATGTACATACCGATGTACATATGTATATAGATTCCATTGACAGCTGCTGTTGCAGTCGCAGTTGCTTATCAGCTCCCATCCATCATTTCGATGCAAAAATACGCCTTTTTTTATTCATTTGACAATTCATTTAAATAGTCAGAGAAAGGGAATTAACTGTTGCACTGTGAAATTAAAATTTGTAATGAACGTTCTACACTTAAGTGCCTATGTTAGCTAGGCTAAAGCGTTTGTAACACGCAAGAAATTTAGTTAGAATATTTTCATCTATGTTACCAATTTTCTTCAGAGACAGTCATCTGGATGAAGAGGTTTAATCTATCCATTGAGTAATTGTAGACTCATTGCATTATTATATAATTATTTATAAACAATCTATGTAGTTTAAAACTAGAGAAAGGTAGTCAACAATAATAAAATACGAATAATTATTAATATTAACGAACTTAGAGTACTTAAAGCTAACATATTTTATCTCAAAGAATAGATTGTATCTATCATAAATATAAATATAGTAGAGCTGATGGCACACCCGATTGAATCTATTTACATTTTTGCAATATATGCCGTATTCTGTATCGTAAAAAAGGATTTTACTTAAGCAAAAGTTGATAAATTGAGTGAACTCTTAATGGGTTTTATTATCGAGAGGATAAATACAATACACTATTTTTTTTTTAAACGGATAAATTTTCATATGAATTACTATTTGAATGGATAGTTGTCTATCAAATGCATACAATCTATATCATAGATCTTTAAAGAAACAATATGTTTGTATATGAACTCCGGCAAACGCCTTAGAAGATACATACAATTATAGTATGCGACATAAATGTAGAGTGATATATACGGCCATATTAAGGTATATACGGTATATGTAGAAGTTTCTGTGTTCAGTGTGGGGTTTCATGATAATCTATAAATTCATGGAATTGCAGCGCATCGCATTCTCTCATAATGCCGTATTCACACATGCAAGCACACACACACGAACACACTTTTTGCACATTTTTCTTTTGCTGGGATTTATTCACTATAATTATGAACGATTTTGCGCACATATGGCATCGGCAGTGGCCATTTTATATCCATTCGTGCAACATCCGGCGGGAGGCACATAATTATAAAGTGCACTTGCAACATTTATTGCCAGTCATAAATCAAAAAGTTATCGAAATGGAAGCCAGAGAAGAGATAATCGCCGCGCGAGTCGGGGGCGACACTTTTTACAACTTATTGGACTAATCAGTATCAGTATACATACATATACACATATACATGTATGTATGTATACATATGTGTACATATCTGAATGTGTATGCATGTCATGTATGGCCGGGAGGGGTGATACAATCCGATAAGAGAGGGGTTACACATAAAGTAGCCCGCGACACGCGACACGCGACTTGTGCCGCATAGGAAACATTTCCAAGCGCATAAACAATGCTGTGCTGCGTGGCAACCCCCAAATACGAGAGAGGAAGAGAAGCAGCAGCAGCAGCAGCAGCAGCAGCAGCTGGAACAGCAGCCTCTGTGGTGGCAAGCCGGACCACGACTACGACTACGTCCGGCATTTGACAGCTTAGCGCCTCGCGAAGAGTTTGCCGGGTGGGGGGAAGCCGGACGAGTTGCTCGTCCAGTGTAGCACGAGAAAATTGCATGCCTCAGTGGCAGTTGCAATTTGCAATTGAGTTCTTTGGCTGGCAGGCGAACGCACATTGAGCTCTATGCGCTCCATGCTCTCCAGAGTGGGGATTACCCAATGGAGAGTGCTGGGTGCTACGCCACGGCACATTGGGCTAGGCCCGCAACAAGCACAAGGATGCGGGCGAGCGGCCGTCGAGTGGGGCGGCGGCAGTCGAATTTATGGCCAAGTGGAAGCGAGTCATGTGTCGCTTTGCATAAATTGCTCGACTTCTGTTTGGTTAGAATTAATGAGTGTGGGCGGGCCAGAGGCGGGCGGGCCAAATAGAGTGACTATAAAGTGAGACTATAAAGGAAGTGCCGCAAAGCGACGCATTTAAGCGAGTCAGAGTCGTAGAGAGTGAGACGAGATAAACAGAGAAAAGGAGAGGGTGCGGAGATTGTTGCCCAGGCACATAAACTCCACTCTTTATGTGATTCATTCTTCTTATCAAGCCATTGTAATTAATTAAATTAGAAAATCTCAAAGCCTGCACAACATTTGCAGCAGGTAAGTGGTTGATAAATGTTAAATAAATGTTTTTCATTTATATTTTCATGTATATTTTCTTATCTTCTTCGGAAATAGTTCATGAATCTTATATAAATGTTTCTCATTTACATGTTATTAAATATTTTCGTATCTTGGGAAGTAGTTAAAAAATTCTTATCATTTATATTTTCATATCTTTGAAATAGTTGATAAATTTTCCATAAATATATCCATCTATTTTATACTGACAATACTAAAGGAATATAATCTTATCTTGGAGAATTCTCAGTCGTTTTGCGCTAAAATCTTCTTTATTTTTGCCTTAAAAGCTGTCATTTGCTCAAGCCATTTTCCCATTCTTAACTCTTTTAATTGCTCGCTCAGAATTTATTCTCTTGCATATTAAAATCTTATTTATTTAAATTTTTGGTTTCCTGTCTTTTAGCTGATCCTTCTCTAGGCTTATATTTAATCTTCTTCGATTTTGTCCTCAGATACGTTACACACTCTCTTGAGTAGAGCCGCATTTGCATTTACTGTTTCATGCCGAATTTTCACCTTTTATTTCAATAATTTTCTCAAATGTTTTTAACCTTTTTTTCTCCTTTCAATTTCCATTTATATTTTCTGTCGTTGTCCCTCTCCCTCTTATCCCCCATTAGCCATGAGCCGCTAGCCACCCTCGTGGCACCGTCCCTTGACCATGTTTGACTGCCTGCATTACAAATACGAAAAGCACTGCAGTTGACACTCCGCTCCGGTTGCCCAGGTTTGTTGAGCGGCCATAAGTAGACTTCAGTGGATGCCAGAGGCCTGGTTCTGGCCTGCCTCAGTTCCGGCTCAGTTGTCGGGCAATTTTTGTTGTTTGGTGCCGAGCGCATTTCAATTTACAAATGACTCAAAATGCCTGTGGCAAGCGCATGAGGGCGAGCTCACAATGCGTTGTCAGGGCAACAATTTTTAATTCAATTCCATTAAAAGTCGCAAAAGATGCTGAGCACAGCTGTGCGAAAAGTATTTCTCTTGCTATTCGCGCTGTCTCCCACATTCTCCAGCGGAAAACTAATGAAGCGCGCAGTGCCAAAGCGAGGATTGATTGCTCCCCGGAGGCGCCGATGGCAGTGGCTGCCACTTGACGCAAAGAAAACAGTAAAATTGATGCAATCACCAGGGCCAAAAGCCAAACTCAACCCCCTGATAAATCCAAAACTAGCAACCTCCCTGCTGCCTGGCTGCACTGCTCAGCCCCGACTGCACTTTCATGGGTGTTTGATAATTTCTACTCTGTAGGATTTCCCGAACAGGACGAACCGGAGGCACTCCCCCGAAGGGAGCAGCTGCATAATAAGACTTGTTAAGTTGCCCGCTCGTTAAGATAAGTGAGCCGGCAAATGGCGACAAGTGCGAACCCGAAACATGCCACAATGATTACCAGCTTTGGATATGCGGATATGGGGTGTGCGCATGTGGCTGCCGAGGAATGAACCCTCGGGGCAGGTCTCACACATAATGTATTCTCGCTGAAGTCTCAGATAAGCTGTACTTTGAATATCTAATCGATATAAATGTGGCAGTTGAAGCGTTTAGATGTAGTAAAATCGATTGTCAGGAACTCGGGAAATATTTAGTGTCTAAAAAATGGAAGAAAATGGCACGGCTTACGATCAAGCTCTGTTATATCAGCAATAATAAATAAGAATATATGATACATAAAGTCTCAATTTAGATATATTTTAAATTCATTTGTAGAATTGGGGTACGCACGACTGCTTGCACCAAATCTATATTCTTGAATATAAACTACTTTATAATTATATATTATGCTATGGTAAGAATATCTAAATAAAAAGTGTAGCATTTTTTTCGAAATTCGAATAGTTTTCAAGGTGTTTCAGAGAAAGATACTTTAATGGAAAAATCAATTCGGGCTATCGAAAGTTATCTAATTGATCATCCATATAAATTGGTTTTTATCTAAAATTTATTTCCGGTGCAAAGAAAATGATAGTTATTATAAATATTTCAGTAGGAAAAACTATTACTAAATCTAAAAAAATGTATATAATTTTTAGATTAATTTAGATATCCTCTCACCTCAATGTACCCCTGGACGCTGTCGCACTGCTGGAGCACCAGAATGCTCGGATTAGCCTTCAGCTCGTCCGGGGAGCAAGGCGATAGGAATCCGCTGTCGGCGTCGCTGTGCGTGGAGAGCGGGCGGGGCTTACGTATCTTGTACTGGACGTGGCGGCTGGGCACGGGCCCCGGATTGAAGAGCACGTAGTTAGACTCGATAGGCACCGTGTGGGCGCGCTGATCCTTGCGCTGCTGCTGCAACAGTTTCTGCAGATGCAGCATGTGATCGGTGGTAACCAGCTCCGAGATGGCGCGCTGCTCCACTGCGGATTTCTGATTGGTCTTCTTGGCTGCAGGACGAAAGGGCGACAGATTCAGAAATGTGAGCTTCTTCTTCAGTGACTGCTGCTGCTGCTGCTGCTGCTGGGTCGCACTGGAGCTGCTGCTGGAGCTGGCCGAGTTTGTGGATGTGGAGGACTCGACAAGTGCCGTTGAGGTGGTTTCCGTGTCCTTCGACTCCTGGCTGTTGGACATGCTGGGCGCCGACTCGCACTCGTTCAGCTGCTGCTGCTGCTGCTGCTGCTGCCGCTCCAGCTTGGCATGCACGAGCTGCTCATTGCTGAATGGATTGGGTATGCCAATGTCCGGTGGGGCCGGCTCCATTTCAAAGTCCGCCGGATCGATGACAAAGTAATTGTGATGCTCAAAGCTGGGCAAGGCACAAGCGCTGCCTTCCGTCTCGGCCTCTGCCTCGCAGGACGTCTCGATGATAATCGTCTCCTCGAGCTCATCACCATCGTAAATGACCTCGGGCACCAGCTCCTCGTCCTCACACACCAAGTGCTGCCGCGAGCTGAACAGGGGATCCCGCAGTCCATGGTGCGCATTGCCAGGATAGCGCAGCGCCTTCTCATTGATGAAGTCCACCGGATCGAACAGGCAGTAGTTGTCCATGTGCGAGGTCGCCGCCTTGCGCTGGCGCACCGGCAGGTTCTTCAGCTTCTCCGTGTAATCAGCCGCGTCGTCCTCGTTGTTGTTGGCCAGCTCGGGGGCCGGCGGCGGCGGGGACAGCTCCTGGCTGAGCTGCATGTCCTGGCTGGCAGGCGCCGCCTGCAACGACTTCTGCGAGCCGCGATGCAACGTGGCAAACAGGCCGCGCGCTATGCAGTTCTTCAGCTCCGTGACACGCCCCTTGTAGGGGCTTGACTGCGCCGAGCTGCTTACGGCGAGCTCCTCGAGCCCGAGCTGTTTGCTCAGCTCCTTGCGCTCCTTTTTGCTAAGCACCACTTTGCCCCGACTGGGAGTGTTCGGCGCCGAGTGCAGCAGCCGCGACTCCCTCGACGGGATTTGCGAGAGCGGCGGCGGCGTGGGCGGAGCAGCGGGCTGCCGATATTCGTCCCGCGCCACCGCCGGCACCACCGTACTGACGGCATAGCTAACGGGCAGCTCGCTGCAGCTGTGCGCCACTTGGCTGAATTCCAGCTCCATGTAGTTGGCAGTCTTCGAGTGCAGCGTTTTCTGTGCCTTGGGTCGGGCGCCACGGTGCAGCTGTTGCAGCTGCTGGTGCTGCGGCTGCTGCTGCTGCTCCTCCTCCTCGTTGGCATTGCGATCGGAACGTCTCGACATGTTTGCTTCCACTCATTATGGGCGGGCACTCGCCCACATTGTTCACTTTTTCGCTACTCGATTTTGTTTTGCTTTTTTTTTTCCTTTAACACTTTTTAATTTGATTTTTTTGTTCACTGTTCATAAAATTAATGGTTTCATAAATCTTCAGCTCGGCTCGACCCGGTCAAAAAATATCTACACAGGCGTTAATGGGATTTAGCTGGCAGTTTGAGTATTTTTTTCAGCTTGGGCCCAGTTAAGAGCAAAAAATAAAAAAGGGCGCACGCTTTGTACATTTGTTTTGTAATTGGATTTTTGAGCTGATGCATGTCAAAGTTAAATTAAAACTGACGACTGGACTGCTCCGCCAGCCAAACAAGAGTTTTCTATTTGTTTTCTGCCCAGTTCCGCCGGAATTGTTGTTGCTGTTGCTGATGCTGATGCTGGGCAGCCCCGAGGCAAAGTCATGGTCATGAACGGAAGGCGGGGGCGTGGTTTTGTCTGTTTTTGAGTGATGCATACAAACGGCTGCCGCAGCCACTCGAGCGCTTTATAATTTGTCTACAAAAGCAATTAACAGCGAAAGGAACTGCCCAAGGAAGCGAGGCAAGCGGAGCAGGACATCCGTAAAAAGGGATTTTACTATATCATTGTATGAAGCTGAATATGATCTCTAATGTGCGAAATCAACAACCGTGAAGAGAAATGTCTTAGCGATAAGCTACCAAAGATAAGCACACATAGAAATTAATAATGTTTGCCCAATTTAATTTTAATATACACAATAAAGATAAAATACAAGGAATAAGCACATATAAATCAATTCATGAAAATTTACAACTTTCCTCAGAAACAAATTCATACTACTAACAAAACAAGTGCGTAAATATGATAAATAAACTCTCCATACATAAACTACGTCAATCAAGCCGTGTTTCATATTTTCAGATAAGTACAATAAATCCAAGAAATTTATAGAATGATAAAAAGTTGATTTAAATTTACAAAAGTAAATTCAAATACTTAAATATTCGTTTTATTTTTGTTAGACCTTCCAAAAGCACGAACTAATCCTTAGAGATTAAGCAACAAATATAACAGATAAACAAAAAGTAATAAATAAATAAAACACAATTTCCCGTTCCACAACTAAATTCTCTGAAGTATTATTTAGCGCATTTAACATTTCAAACACACATAAATCATAGTTTGTATCTCATTTTCGCTACAAATTGTGAACATTTTATTTATCCAGAAGAAAAACATTTGAATTAAACTGAAAATGCAGCTGAAGAAAAACCACAAGGCCACAAAATTTACTTAAAAGCTGTGGCTGGAAAAGCAAAAATAATTTGAATTGCAGAAATTGAAGGGAATCCAATGCAATGCAAATGCCAAAAAGGAACAATTTAAAGGCGTGTCAAAAGTTGAATATTTAATGCGAAACAGAAACGAAAATGCAGCAGGGAAATGCTGAAAAATCAATGCACTTTAAGGAATCGACAAGACTGCTAATGTCAGTCAGTCAAGCTTCTCTTTGAAGCTTGTGAGCTCAGCTCAGGACTTTGGAAGGCTTGAATATATCCTGCTGCCTTAATGATCCACAGCATCTCTGATGAAGAATTTTCACTCAAAGCCGCAACACCTTGTGGCATGCAATGTATTCCATTCATTCCTTGGCCTCTCTCTCTCTCTCTCTGGTTTCGTCTCCCTATACACAAAAAGTACAAACTGTATTTAGATGCCAAGCAATTGGAAAAACTTTCATTGCCATTAACAACAACTGCAAATTGAAGCCTGCCTCAGGTGAGAGAGGCAGTGAGCCAACGAGTTGCATAATTGCTGGCACCTGATCAAATTAAATGGCCTGCAAAAGCGTCTGGCCTCAGTGGAAAAACTGCCACGGAAATGGCGAGGTCAGTGAAGTGGTCAAAGCGAAAATTGCTCCATCCCAAGGGACTATTACTTGGTTCCAGGACTGTTTATTATTGAAGAGGCAATAAATAAGAGATAAAGGGAAGAAAACAAATATATAAAAAAGCAGATTTTAGTTGAAACAAAGCCGAAATATCTGTAGAAGATCAAGCATACCATTCAGTCTAAAATGTGGGGTATTGAAAAGGCCGGCCAACTTGCTAAAAGGCAATCTTTAAGGTTCTAAGAAGCAGTTAGACGGGTTAACAGACAGTCGAGGTATCGTTTCACCTATTAACTCTGACGATTTCAAAGGCAACCCTCGCAAAAACTATTTTCCCTTAATGCATCAAAAGTGGGCCATAAAGTATAAAAGTAGTTTGCAATTTAAATGTAAATTTTTAATTGAATTGCAAAGCAGCGAATTGAAGCAAGGCCAAGGGAATGGGAGCAGGGGCAGCGGTCGGGACTGGGACTGGGGCTAGGGCAGAGGAGACCCAGCTGCTGCAGCTACCTGCTGTAAGTGGGCCAAGAATTTGTTTATTAAGCTAATTAGAAGTTGGCGCTCGTTTGCCAGGAGCAGCTGCTGCTCCAGCTGTGGCCGGCCAACTGGCGTACTGGACCAATGGCCGACACTTTAAATACCCTAGTCACTGGCCCGGCTGCCACCTGCAGCACTTGGACAGCTGCTGGTAGAGTTGACAAAATACTTGTCGAGATCTGTCCAGTTGCTTTAGATGTAGTTGTTGTTGTAATTGCTGCGCTTCAAGTTTTGAAAGCCGCAACTCGACTGCGGCTTTTGTGAGTTCTTGCAGAAAAATCACAGACCACGACCGTGCCCCTCCCACAACTCTCTCTCTCTCTCTCTCTTTCACTCCCTTCCTCTAAGTAACTCGTGTTACGCCCCCTCTGCTCGGCTGGTCATCAAGCGGCAAACTTTACGAGTTGATAGCTGAAATAAAGTGGAGCATGCATTTGCAGTGCTCTCCACTCACTGGCTCGCCCTCTCACACCCGGCCAACAATAATAAGGACTTTAGCTAGCGACTCCAGCTCCCCCTCGCCCGCCTCCGCCACTCCCTCCCATTATTGCTACCACTTCATGACATCATTTTATTTGCACTCAATCTCAGTCGTTGCGCCGCCTGCGCAAACTTTCCCACAAAGTTGGTTAGAAATGCTTTTGATTCGGCGTTAGTTATTCACTCTCTCTCTCTTCTCTGCCTGTCTCTTTCAGTTGCAGTTCTATTATTTCTTTCTTTCTGTTTTCTGTTAGCTTTCTTTTCAGCACTCAAATGCCGCTGCGAAATGGTCGTCGAGAAGCGAGAGTTACGAGAACCATGAAAATCATTGAGATACCCTAAATGACTCAATAGCAGATTGAAGATTGAAGCTGACGGGGGAAATTATTGAATTATGATTGCTTCATGCTTGACATTGCTTAACTTTCTACATTAAGGATCTCACTTATGTTTGGATATAATTATTTATTATTTTTATTCGAATTTTCTATTCAAATCAAACGTTAAAGATAAAGAATTCATCTTATAACCCGCACTAATCTGCCTAGCTTTTTTATTTAGCAATTCTATTTCTGTTTTAATAAGTTGGAACACTAAGTTTAGGCCGAGATTCGTTCTTCAAACTGATTCATTTATTGAGATGAATATTCAATTCAGCTCGAAAAGTAAATCGAAGTCAATAGTATTGGATTCTTGTAAGGATTGAAATTGAGCCTTTACAATATTTTTATTTTTGTTATTCATATTTTTGCATTTAGCTATTAATACTCAAATTTTTTACTATTTTTATAAATTAGTTATGGTTTAACCTTAAGCTACAATCAGATGCCTCAATTATAATATAATGGCTTAGCATACATTTATTTTTACTCCCCTAGTTCTAATCTAGATTAGGCCAAAAGCCGAACAAAGCTCAGAGAAAAACCAACGTACCCATTTTTCTCTCAGTATAGTGTATAATAAAGTGGCAAAGTCTGTTGTTGTACGCGCCGAAATGTTGCAAAAGTGAGTGGAGCTGAGAGAAAGAGACAGAATGTGTGCAACTGAGATAGATAGACACATTGAGTGCGAGATGGAGGAAAAACTACGTGCGTATGACAGTTTGAAACACTTCTAAAGACTTTTGAGTTATGCCGCGAGAGGCGTCAAAATGTGGCATGTACTAAAACTTTCTGGGGTTTACTATTCTATTTTTTAGTATTTACAAAACTGGGAAAGGGATGTAAAAATTTGTCTGTGAGCGGAAAAGCGAGCAATCCTGAAACAAAAAAATCTATGTGCAATTCAATTAAAGCTCAATTTGCAAGCAGGCGTCGTATTTTTGTTAGTTAACGACCGAATCCGGGTAGACAATGTTTTGTGGGTGCGAGGGGGTGTGTAGGGAGTGTGTGTGTGCAGCCACCCCTGGGGAGGAAACGCAAGGACCGGGCTGGCTGCTGCTCGCATTTAATAAGACTCATCAGTGCAAACGGAAATCGCTTGAGGAAATTGTATGTTTTAAGCAAAAGGAAAAGCATACATAATAAACTCATATAAAAGATTGTTGCATGCTGCGAGAGGTGGAGCAAAAGACAAGAGGAGGTAGAAGGACGGGAGGAAGAGGCGAGCTATGGGACAGGACAAGCTTGCAGCCCGACACATTCACGGAGAGGGGGACATGAAGAAATAGCCCCAGGCGGACAAGACGCAGAAAGCGAATATTATTAAAAAAAAAAAAAAAAAAAGAAAGCAAAACGAAAAGGCAATGAAAAAACAAAACTGGAAAGCGACGAAGAATCCAGTCATAAAATTTATTAAATGCCCAAAAGTATGACAGCTATAGACAATTTATGGGCGGGGTAGGTGGAGGTTCTCTCGAAAATAAAAACATAGGCAAAGGAAATATGGAAATTAGTTTGCCAAGGATGCGCGTCGCAATAAGGTAGAAAAATCTGTGTGTGGATAGAACTTCAGTTGGAATATAATCAAAATCTGTGAGTTTCCCTATTGGGCGGCAGAAAGTAGAGTAAGTATACTTAAGCAGAGTAAATAAATGCTGAGCTTTTAATAAATTAAATTTGAAAGACCAATTCGTTTTCTACTAAACATTAAATATTCATGGAAAATATTCGAATAGAGAAATAAGAGTTAGCATTGCACTATGGGTAAAATTTTTTTTGGCATTTATTCAAAAAAAATTTTGTTTACAATTTAAAATTTTCTTTTATTTATTGAATATATATACTTCAACTAGATTGAATAGTATTTCTTT